CGGGAGTGCCGCCGCGCTTCCCAAGCGGCGCACTTATCCAGTGCGCCACCGGGCCAGCCCCACTCATATATAAGTTTTAGCAGCAAGGTTTATGGTTTATCTTTAATTTATGGGAACCAAATGTCCTAATTAAGCTCTGATGTCTTATGATTTTTAATATGTATATTATGTATCTAATGACTGAGAGAAACCTGCTAGAATTTTACTGTTGGGAATTGATCTCCAGATGGCAGCTATTATGTTCTTCAGATGAGATCACATCTAAACCATTCCCTTTTCCGGAAGTTTCGGAGAAGGAAATTTCATCCTCTTTTGGAAGCTTATTCAAGCTTTTATCATGCTAATTTAACATGTTTACCTTATGTCTCAGTTAAATTCCTTGTGCTGTAATTGTTTTTCTTTTTTAAAAAATTATTTAGGAGGAAGAGTTTTTAATCCTTCCTGTGTTCAAAATAATATATTAAGCTTCCTCAACTTTGTGGTTAATAGCTTAAAGAATTATCTATTTCATCTTGTTTTCAAGTAGAATTAAATTTAATTCAACAGGTGTACGTATATGTAGTTTCAGTTCCATTTTGAATGCTATTTTCATCAATGTATTCTAATTCCTGGAATTGTCAATAAAGGAATGCAAACTGAAGGATCTTGAAGTAAAACTTACATAATTGCAGTTTAGCAAAAAGTGACAGTCTTGAAAAAATACTCTCTGTGTGAAGCATTAAACACTGAGAAAAGCTATCTGTGTGCTGCCCTCAGTAATTCCAATATATTTGTAAACTGAAATTGTGTTGAATGGACAGATTTGTTTCAAGACTACAACAGAAAAATATTTTGATACTTAAATCACCAATCTACTTACTATAAAGAAATTGGTTTCCTGCTCATTGCCAGTTTAGAATATGAATTTGGCATTGTTCAGGTCTGGTTCATTCTTTCAGTGCATTTCAGATTTTTGTGACTTATTTTATTTTTTAAAAACAGGGCAATGTGTTCCAAGATGCTGTCTTCAATCAAACAGTGACAGTTATTGAAAGAGAGGATGGATTAGATGGAGAAACGTAAGTACACGTTGCAGTACATGGATCTCGATTTTGTAAGGTAGCACTGGAGGGCTTTGCTTGCTCCTGTTGCAACACATTTTTGTAAGTGGTGAAAATGGAAGGGACTGTATAGATGGTGAAATCCTTACTACATTTATCCATACTTTAGATGATCCTTATAACTGTTAATTCCAAATTAAGGAAGATAGTTGAAGATGACAAAAGAAAATTTTTAAAGGATAGTAGCTGGCTTTC